TTATTGATTGAAATCACAATTGAAATGACAACTGATAATACAAATGCTGACTCACAGTGTACTGAATGCACAGCGGCTGAAGATATTTTTTGAAAATAAAGCATGTATATTTTTTGTAGAAGTTTGCTTGTAAGAGTCCCAATGAAAATAATCAAACTATTAAATCGATAATCCGACCAATGACAGCTTGACTGAAGGGTGATAGGTAAAAAATTGATGTTAATGGATGAATATGGTTTCCCCCCCAAAAAAACGATACACATTTAATCTGTAGGCAAACTACCTTTAGACACACCCACAAGAGACAATGGAATACAATCATTATGACTAAATACTGACTTTACATACTGCAACAATTTGCCCAAACCTTCTCCTCTTACCTTCGAACACATCAGTTAAAAAGTGCTGCATCTTAGTTCCACAGATTGTTTGATGCATATAACCCAAGAGTGTTATTATTTACCTCACATACTGATCATTGTTTTTGTGCTCTGAGATTCAGAAGAAAATGATGAACTATGATAAGTGTTAAGTCCCCTCTAGATGACAGGATGAGACACGAGTGGAGACAATATTGTTTGTGGGATGTTGTAATGTTTTCAAAGCATTTATGGAAGTTTGCTATTCTCAACTTGTGAAGGTTTGTGGATTTTACAAGAGCTGTTAGCAAGCCGCTATTTGTATGTAATCATAGCACTTTTTTGTAAATTGAATGCCTTTTATTTCCTCCAATACCTTTTTGTTTAAAACATCTGTTACAAATGTATAGATGATATATTTAGCTATTTTAGAGAACAATAACATGTAAATACAATATAAATGTTTTATTTTTACAGGTACAATTTTGACAGTGTTTTTTCCTATCAAAGTGTCATTTTTTTTTGCTTTACTTGCACAAGTGTTCTGTGTATCTCATTGAGGGGTCTTTTAACAAATAATGTATGACCTTTAGCTGCCAAGTTTGTAAGAAGGCCTTTTTTTTGACTATACATCCGCTGGTTTAGGTGAGAGCACAAGCAATAATTAAGCTTAAATGGACAGTAGCACTTAACAATGTCACCTTGTCGTTGTTCACTTAGATGACAAAAAGGCAAACAAAATGGATTTGCAGTTATTCCCAGAGTGATTTGTCCTCTTTTATAATCCTTTTACCTTTTGAAAAATGATGACTTGATTTCTTAGTGGAATTTGTCGAGAAGCATTTATGTGAACACAAATATTCCAATGAGTTAACTGATTGCAGTTTCAACCCGGTGCAACCCAGATAACCCGTTTGGATTGGATGACAGAATCCAGGAATTTGGTTTGGGAAGAAGAAAAAGTGGGAAAAAAAAACTCTACACATGGTTCTGAAAGAGACTGAAAAGACTAGAAAGAAAAAAAGTAACATCTCCCTCACTCTTGACCAACAGAAAGTAGATGCTCTTCAGTGAGAGACACAGACATTTAGCAATTCATGTAAAACTTCTTTATAAGCTTCAGTGGTACCAGTGAACTTTATTGAATGTGTATGTAAGAAACACTGCAATACTGCAATATATTTTGGTATTGGATCAAGCTGCTAACATACTTCTCAAGCTCCTTAAGGTGCTACAGACCTCTTTTCTAGTTCTTAAATGTATCGTTTGTACAAAGTATCCATTTTAGCTGACTGTTGGCCTGTGTGTGCCTGGTTGTACTATATAGCTACATTATATTTTTTATTGTACTGTGACTTTTGTAGTCTTTTTACAGACTTGCCTGTAATATCACATGCCACCCCACCCCACCCCCTCCTGTGTGTTGTGATAGTGGGAAATTGAGTCACGGTGGGAGATGCTCTTGAGTGAAGTCACTCAGCAGAGATGAAGACATCAGTGCGAACGCTGAGAAAAAAAAAAAAAAAACACACACGACTCCAGGTGATGCTTTTCAAATATGAGCTGAGGAAGTTCAGAGATGAACCGCATTCCAGCCATGTTGGTTTGGTTTTCTTTTGCATTTCAACAATGCCATTCTGTTACAATGATGGACTCATTGCTAATCCACAATATTTTATGTCAAATCAATTTTACAAACTACTGGTGTATTTTTTTTTTTTTTTTTAAATATAGGCAAAGTCATTCACATCAACATATAGATATATATATAGGTAAATATATATGTATATGTCTATAGGTTGTGTAGAATCAAAATGAATGCTGCAGCTGTTATCCATTGTTTTTTAAAACATTGACATCATCCAAAGAGGCAGATTATTTATTGTCTGGCGGAATAACCTGATTTGATTTACATACCTTGCTGCTATGAGAGAGAAGAGCTGCAGTCGTTAACTCCAGTGTTTTTACACAATGTAATGAAAGTTCATTAAACATACAGAAGGATTCAACTTTTGTGTCAGATTGGTCATTCCTAAAATGTGTCACTTATGTTGATTGTGTCTGAGTTTATCCTACTCTGTGCCGGGGGTTCTAAAACGATACCTGTACTTACTGATGTTTACAACAGACTGAGTCTAAATATAAAAGTCTGGGTTGTCTCGGTAATAACGGAGCTTGTCATCCAGTACAACAGTGTGGATCATTTCATTTTTATTTGTTCTGCACATGTCAAAAAACACAACGTTTCCTGTGAACGTCGTTTTTCAAAATTTTATCCCAATCCATGTTCAGAAAGGAGCAGCGAATATTGTACTCAAGTGAAAGTACTATTACTTTGATTACATTGTTCTTTAGTTGATGTAAAAGTACTGGTCTTTAAATCTACTCAGTAAAAGTGAAAAGTAGTTTGTTCAAAACTGACTTTAAGTTCTGAGCACTGAAGACTTCCTTTTTTACCCGAGGAAACGGGGGTTAAAAAGCCAAATATGATGTTAAAAGAGAGTGCAATGCATCAGCAAATGTTTTGATGCAACGTGGATGAATAACTCTTGCTATGATACTTTGGCATTTAAACAGATATGTTAAAATATTCCAAAAAGACACTATGTAAACATGATAAATATGAAATGGGTTCAAACTGAAACTCTAAAATCTGATTGTCATACTACAGAAATAAAAAAAAAAAAGACAAATCTAACAGTGATGAGATTGTACAGGTAAGATGGTCGGTGGTTGTTTAGAGAAGGCCTTTACATGTTTCTATATTCTTTTGACAACATTTTGGTCCAACTTGTCCATTTTTTTGCCTTCTTAGTTTTCATTGAATTACTCAGTAACAGAGGCTATTTAAAATGTTGTGAAGTACATTGCTACCCCCAAGACATACTGAGCCTAAAGTAAAGTTCAAATTACTGATTTGAAAGAACTTCTCAATTAAAAATACACAAACAGCTACTCAATTACAGTAACATGATTAAATGTCATTTGTTACTTCCATCCCCAGCCAAAAATTAATCTTTTTTTCCTCCATCTTTTTTGTATTAGTTCCTCTTCATCTCTTCCACCCTCCTGCCTGTGATCAACTGGCACCACTGAAGCTTTTCTCAGTGCTCAAACTTCAAAGATGTTATTAGGTCCTTAAATTCCTCTTAAGGAGAGGGAAGGAGCTACAAACCAGGAGTGTTTGTTTTTTTTTTTACACTGAATGTCACCTAGCCATTCACACACTGATGGCAGAGGTTACTATGTAGTGAGACCATCAGAAGTGACTGATCCAATTCATACGCACTCATAACGAAGCAGCGGGAGCAATTCAGGGTTTAGTGTCTTGCTCACGGACACATCGGACATGTTGCTGCAGGAGCTGGGGATCAAACCCTCGACCCTGCGTGCTGCCCCAAGAAGTGACACACAAACCGACCTTTGAGTTCAATTTGAAGTATATTTTGAATGGTGGTGTTCATCTAAGATCATAAATGACAGTTAAAGACTGTAACAAAACAGCAGACAGACGTAACTGAGCCTCATCACATTTCAATGACTTCATTACAACGACTCGTGAAGTATTTAGGCTCTATCTTGTTTTGTTGCCTCAACTCATCCTTCCTCACGTCTCATCCTTGCATCGTAGCAGGGACTAAGACAATAAAGGGAGGGAGAGGAATCAACAATGTTCAAACTGAGGAATGAGAAAAGGCTATAGAATTTATCTTCAGTGGATTCTTTTAGTTCTAAGTTTATATTTAAAAGACTTTTAGTTTGATTGTTTCTCCATACATACAACAACATACCTACACCTATCTGCTCTAAAACATACCTACACCTATCTGCTTTTTAAAAAAACGAATACAAACTGCTTTTATTAAAAGCTGTCAAGTTGTTTAAAACATAATCTAAATTAAACTCATTAAGAATGAGATATTTTCGTTTAGAGGGTTAGGGTCAATTAAGAACCTTTGTTTTGTGTAGACTATAGCCAACTGGTGAAAACAACATTTTCACAACTAGGACATTTCGTATGCATTCTTACAGCAATGACGTTGGGCTGATGATTTAAAATAAAATCCACTCACTTATACATTATGTGAGATAGATTATTTGAGTTCGTAGCCTTATTCTAGGCTTGACTTTTATCCTGCTGCTCGAGAGGCAGCCTAACAAAGCAGCTATGATCTCGATCGGTGGTAAGAAATCAGGACTTCAGTCATATTCAGTCATATTGTTTTCGATGTGGGCCTACAGGAAGATGTTGCATCACCTTGTGTGCTGTCCCATTTCATCAACACCATCTCTGAAGTAGCCTAACTGTTAGAGCTAGATTTTCTGCACCCCCTCCCGTGATGTTATCAGCACACACACACACACACACACACACACACAAACACACACAAAAACTGAAAATAACAAAAGCAGACAGGCTTGTTTTTCATGTTCTGCAGTGATGATCCAACGACCCCCGACCTCAAAATGAGCAATATTGAGTGGACATAGCGAGACACACATGGACCAAAATAGACTATACCAAGTTTTTAAGAACTAAGTCAACACGTTTCACCGTCCTCCTGACTGTAGCTATAAAGTAAACTGAGTTGAACCATCTGAATGAACCTGCTGAACTCCAACAGAAAGCAATACATACTCCACAACACTACGTGGCGGTGTGGCCGACTGTGTGCGTGCGACTGTGCTGAAAAGCTGTGAAGATGTGGGGCCGCTGTTCAGTCAGCTGCAGACTTCAGACTGCATGAATTGTCCCGAGCGCGCACAATGCCTTCTCCTATCCCCATTTCGCGCTTGCTGCCCAGAGACATCTACCCCTCTCTGGATTTCGGGATCTGCAGCAGCCCGCTAACAAAACACTCCCACGGCTCCACATTGCAAGTCCCCATAAATCGGCACCACGGGAAAGCTGCGAGTCGGCTCTGGTCCTCTGTTATCCACTGGAAGGAGTTGCGCTCCGCACAGCCGGTGGGTTCCGGAGGGTTCGGCTCCGTGTACAGGGTGGAGTACCTCGGGGAAATTGTCGCGCTGAAGAAAGTGAAGAAGTGCACTAAGAACAAGCTGGCGTCCCGGCAGAGCTTCTGGGCGGAGTTGAACGCGGCACACCTGCGGCACAGCAACGTCGTGCGCGTCATCGCTGCGACCACCTGCGTGCCGGACGATTTCGGAGACGATAGCAGCATTGGGACGATACTGATGGAGTTCGTGGGGGACAGAAATCTACAGCAGATCATTTACGGGTGTCCTGAGCCGCTGGAGGTGGACCGGTGGCTCAGGTACTCCGCGGACATCTTAAACGGTTTGCGGTTCCTTCACTCCCACAGCGTCCTTCACCTGGACATAAAACCAGCGAACGTGTTGATTTCCAGTCAGGACATCTGCAAAATCGTCGATTTCGGCTGCTCGTTGAAAGTGGACAGTGGATGTGAGGTCAGCACGGTCAGCCGTCAGCTGAGCCACGTAGGCGGCACGTACACGCACAGAGCCCCGGAGCTGCTGAGAGGTGAGGCGGTATCTCCCAAAGCAGACATCTTCTCATTCGGGATCACCTTGTGGCAGCTGATCACCAGAGAACAGCCTTACGACGGCGAAAGGCAACACGTGCTCTACGCGGTCGTGGCGCACAACCTGAGGCCGTCGGTCCACAACAACCCTGTGTTTGAGACGGAGCTCGGACTGCTGTGCAAGACCCTGCTGAGCCAGTGCTGGAACGCAGACGGCACCTGCAGACCTACTGCGAAGGAGTTGTTGCTTCACCTGGAGCGGCTGCGCTCCCATATATGACTCTTTTTTTTATTTTATTTTTTTTATTGCTTGTTGCAACACATGACGACTGCTGTGGGTTTCTTAAAATGAAAAAGTTTCAGTAACATTTTAGTACCGCTCTCCTGCTGTCATTTTGAAGCAGTGTTTTTTTTTTTTTTATACAGGATTCATGACTCTCTTTATTACCGGCGAAAGGACTTCACTCCCATGCCACCTTGTTGTGAATGATTCATGTTTAAATTCGGAACATAGACAGAGATTTATGTCAGACTATAAGATGTTGTTTTTTTGGAAACTTATTCCATATCTTGCTCCACCTGCAGATGCAATTTCAACGCCTACTTGTGTGACTCCCGATGAAAAAAACGATGACACCTTAAAGTTGTTGGAGTTTCATTGTATCAATCAAGGATTGGGTCTTTCAAATGTCATGTTATTGAAGGGACTGAAACTGAAAGCATGCCACAGCCATACTACAAGAAAAATCCTAATTTATTGTTTTGTTTTTTTAAATATAATTCTTAGACTTTAACTGTGGGGATTGTTATTTACTTTGTCCAAACAATTTATTTAAACTGGGGAATTAAAAATCTTTTGAAATTCAGTTTTAATTGTCATGATGAGATGTAAGTGTTGTATGTTTTCATTAAAATTATTTTTATACTTCTGAGTACTTATACTTATGCCTCTGAGCTTTTCCTTGTATCATGTTGACTAGTCAGCACTTTTTCCACAGACGCTTTGGGCTTTTTTTTCCAAGAAGCAGTTTCATTATGACCAAATATAGCAAGTGTTTAATTTATCAGATTTGACTTCCATCAGTTGCACAAGTCAAGAACCATTCTTAAGACTATTTCTTTATGGAAGTGAATGGAATGACATTTCAGACTGGATGTATCTATGAATGTGTTCATATAATAATCGAGAGAATTAACATCAAATCAACCTTTTCTTCTGCCATGCAACACAACGTGCTTCAGAAAATATCAATATTCACAAATGAGCTTTAATTTATGGACAGCAGAGGTCACTGTTACTTCATAAATCAAACATTGGATTATTTGACAACAGAATAAACACTACTTACAGACTTGAGAAATATGCAGCACATTTGGTGGTTTTTACTTCATTATAGGGTAAAACATAAGCTCAGATATGGCATTTTTCAAAAGTAAATAAACAATGTTGATCTGTGGATGCTGCTTGTTTCTTCACTGCAGCCATGCCAGGGGCTGGATGTTACATCACCTGGTCACATATGACAATAAACAAAACCAGTGAGACAGTAACAAACATTGAAGACAACCTGGCAGTCATTGCTAGAGGCTTGAGAAATTCTTCAATAAATGATCGGCCACAGAAAACATTACATACTGCATCATTTCCTGTTACAGTTCTATTATTGCTGCATGGTGAAGATATACAGTGAAATAGTCTTTTTTTATTCTTATTTTGACAGATTTATAAGCATTATAGATGGCACTGCAAGGTTGGTGATCAAATGTTTGTGGAAAATCTATGAAAATCTATGCATTATTCTATTCTGCTAGTTTCATTTTGTGCTTAAAATTCAAGTAGAGCCACTTCTGTCACTTTAGATACAGACTAACGAGTTTGAAAGCTAGAGATGTACACTTTGCGGCACCCCCTAGTGGCAGAATAACGAAGAACCTTAATCCTACAGCACATCAGAACACCTTCACCAAGTTTGAGCATTTATGTAAAGACCCCAAACTATACAAGATGTTAAAAAATCCAACAAGTATTTTTCCTTGAAAGAAAATCTTCGCCCGTTGGACCCTAAATTAAAAGGAACAGGTGTAGTTAAGTACTTGAATTCTATGAGGTTGAGGGGGTACCTACACAAGACAGTTGTGCATAGAAGGCATAGATCTTTGGACAGAAACACTGGATTCTTAAATACCATAACACAACACAGTACAGTCTTCTCAACCCATATCTCTTATAGTCCATTGCGTCAGTTTCAAAACACAGCCTGTCTGATTAAAAAAAAAAAACTGTAGTCCTTGTACTCCTTAACATTACTATGCCGTCATTAGGGTTATTCCCTAGACTCGACAAATCTCCTCCAGAGACAAAGACGACATAATTCAAATGTTTTCACGGGCCGAGCAGAACCCGCAAAATACACTTCACTTTAAAGTAGTATGTTAATGTAACGTCTTCAAGAACAAAGTATTTACAAAGCACATTTACACAGTAACAACGTACTGGACTAGTGGTAATATACTATCAAGGAAAGCACATTTGGATTTACACTATGACAGAGAAATAGTGACAAAACTCTTCACATTATCAGATCACAAGTACACAAGTATTCAAACAAGTATTCACAATTCACAGGTCAGAAGAAAAAAAAACAGTTCACAGTAACAAAGAGGAATTATGCCCTTCAACAAGTACCGTATTCATAAATTATGTTTATTTGCAACCAAACAAACTATGGCAGTATACATGGAATCTCAATACTGGAGCAGACAGCTTCGTGCTACAAAGATTACATGATGGTCACTCTTTCAGGTGAGATCTGGGCAGCTGAGCCCACCGGTTCCAGGCGCTTGCACCGAACATGACTGCTGTCCAGGCCTCTGCGGATCTGGTGGAGCTTGCGGGCAACACAGGGTAGCAGCATCAGCACCTTCCCAAGTATGACACACACGGGCAGGGCCAGTGACACCACAAAGCAGGGCGGCAGGTAGAAGCGGTACGCCTCCTCCTCGAAGGCTCGCTTCCAGCCAAACAGCAGGCCGTGGAAAGTGGCAATAAGTAGAGCTATGTAGCCAAGAGTAGACTGGAGCAAAGACAGGAAGACTCATGATGAAACACTGAGTTACAACTCCTGTGGTCATACAGCAAATGGATAATCTTGTTCGTCTAGACACATAGCTTTAGTTACACTTTAAAATAAGCACATAAGGAATTCCACAGTCAACACATATCCTTTGCAGTTTAGTAACCTTGGTGGTTTGTAAAATGTGCTGTAGTATTCATAAAATATTGATTCTAACATCCCAAAAAACACCTGAGAATCATCACATGAATTTTGAAAATGAATCTCTCTTTAGACCTTGGCCACCCTCTCTGTATGTTACCTGTATGAAGCTAAACTCCCTCCAGTTGAGCGCGCTGTTGACAGAGGGAATAGAGGTGATGGCCAGAAGTGAGAGGAGCCCGAGACTCATAATCCCAAAGGAAACGTACATCTCTACCCTCCACACCTCCTCCTCATTCCAAGAATTTTCCAAATTAGCATGAACCTGCCGATAAAACGGAAACGGAGATGAAATTCACAACAATCATCATCTATCACTGCTTCTTTTATGCATGGCCAGAATCTTTTTTTAAATACTTTATTAATCCCTGAGGGAAATTCTGGTTTACAAAAAAAATCAAGTGAGAACAAAAATGTAAATGTTGATGTCCCAAAAACTTAATATGTGATACCTCAAGAGTCTGTAACAAAAATGGCTCATGTATCATGTCAGTGTACTGTATTTTATTCTTGAGTAAGAATCTAAAAAGAAAAGTATCACAAATCTGCACAAATATATTCTAGGACTTCATGGACAAGTTCAGAATTCATCACCCCAGAACATTTAATTTAGTGTTTCCAATAAAAAAAACAATTTCTCTGTTTGACAGACCATGTTTTGAACATTTCCATGTACATAGACAGCAAATGTTGTGAATACGGAACTGGATTACAGTATGTGTGACTATTAAGTACTATTTTGAGTATTTCAGGAACTTAAGCAATTATCTGTTTCCAATTAAATTTATGAATTTATTTGCTATATGTACGTTTAAAAAGTAGTGGAAAGATGTCAACCTTATTGATTACATTTCTATGGTTTTGTTTTTTTTGCCAAGAGCTTGATGAAGGGAGTTTTAGTCTTTGCAATAAGTTGTTCAACATTATTGGTAGGTTCATATTTGTAGAAATTATCAAAGTCAACTGAGTTACAATCCCTTGCCCTTGCTGCTGAATCAGATATATTGACACATTTAAATAATAAAAATTGGATCAACCAGGGGTTTCCCTTTAGCCTTGACTTGTTAAAGGTGCACTATGGAGTCTTGGAAGAGAAATGTGAAAGTTGGAGAAGTGAACAGTTTATGTAGTATATGTTCATAACTCCACACACAAAGTGTCCTCAGAGGAAACATTTGCTTTCCCTGTAACAATGTTTGAAGATAAAATGCTACGCGAGAAGTGCTCGAGGAAGTGGGCCTGCAACAGTGAAAGTGTAACTCTCCTGGTAGCTGATTAGCTCCAAACATTGTTCCAGGGACACCTTTTTTTCTTTGATTTAAGTTTGTGTATTTAGTTCAGAAAATATAGCAAAGAATTGTTTCACATCTCCAACTTTCAAATTTCACTACCAAAACTCCATAGTGCACCTTTAAGTTGGACTTAAGTCAAAATGCATCATCAGTATCAGTATGGGCATAATGTTAGAGCTCGACATGCCACTGACCTGCTGGTAGGCAGTATTTAGCAGCAGGTACCTCTCAGACCTCCTCATGGGCAGACACACACTGTAGAGAACATGGACAGCAGCAAGGAAGAAGCTAAGGAGGCCCAGCTGTTTCCGGCTTTGCAGCCATCCTTCTAGCCAGTGTGGAAAATGTCTGTACTTTGTACCATAGTAAAGCTGGTGGGCGGCTGCCAGCTGGCCTGCCAGGTACACAAGGGCCAAGAGAGTAATGGCCACCGTGGGAAGTGTTCGGTTCACCATCTCTATGGGGATCTTATAGAAGTCACTCTGCTTGTATTTCACATAAGGATGGATGATATCTCGTACAAAAGAGTAGGCAAAAAAGAAGATAGATAGGGCCACAGCAGCCAGGACAGGGCCCCTCCAGCTAGGAAACAACTGTATCGGCATGGCCTCAATGTCCCTCGATGAAGATAGGGTGCCCATATCAACCGGCTGGAAGTAGAGCTGGCGTGCTAGTTCCATAATTTGTTGTCTAGCCTTCAGTGAGTCACTGCAGATAAAAACCTACACAGTGGCAGGATTAGAGAGACGGGGGGAGTTAGAGGATGGAACATAGATGGAAAAATGTGATTTAAAGTATGCAGCAAAGTCATCTGTCATAGAACTTTATTAGTCTCCAAAAGGTATTAAAACAAATGACATGAACACAGATCCTCACTAGAGCAACACATGTGCATTGAATCCAAACTGTACAGTACATGCATTTCCTTTTCATTTTAGGAATCTGTAGATGTATCATCCAAATCGCGGATAAAGACATCTGACTGAAGGGGGGGGGAGATTATTTCAGGATTTATCCATCCAGCCAGGAGTAATATTGTTGTGGGTTTTTTAATAGATTTTTAATTTGCTCTAGATTTGAAAGCTCACAGGACGTTTTTAATCTAAACTCCTGCACACTGTCTAACATGCAAAGAAACATCTATTGGCAGCGTTTCAGTACTGGACCTTCCATCGGGCAGATATACTTGTTGATGGACACATTGCTCTCCAACGCACCTGTCTTGTGAAGTGGACCTTTTTCCATAATAATTTGTGCTTAAATTAAAGCAGAAATAAATTGTCGAGAGAGCTATAGCAAGGCAGTAAACTGGCTGTCCAGTATGTGGGCTGCCATATCTTACTGTTAGAGAAAACACAAATCCTAATAAATCATGTTTTTAGTGAGCCTTGAAATGGACAGTGAAGGCCTGACCACTTCTTTACAAGGTATAATGATTTTTTTTTCAGCTTTGATTTAAGTATATAATACCTAACAGAATGGTATATGAAATATACCCTGTCAAAATCAATATTTAAGGACTGTATGTCACTTATTAACCTCTAGAACTTGGTGTAAATAATCATAGTTCCACCTACTGCATGAACTTTGCTCAGTTGCTAATAGAGAAACACAGGTTTCACCAGAAGACCTAAGGAACTCCAGATACATGACAATAGGTGGTTGTATGGATGAACCCCTGTCTCTGCTCTCAGATGTGAACACATGGATATTTCTTTGGCCAACAACTGATGTGTTGTCTATTGCCTTTGACCTTTTCCCAGTGGATGATGCTATGACAAATTTTGATTTGCTGTCTGTGGGTTTGAGCAGTTCTTCCGAGAGGGGGTCTTAGTATAAGTCGGTGGATACTCAGAGATCAGGTAAGGCATTAACACCCCACAGCAGAATCTTAGAAGAGTGTTATGATGTTACAAAAGAGCAGGTAAAAGACCTTACTCACTGTGTATTATCTACAAAGACCCAGCGTTAATCCATCATTAGCACAGCACTTTTAGCAAAGTTCCAGTGACAAGAAAAAAAACTTTCTTTTAAGAGGCAGAAATCTCATGATGAGCGGTCATCTGACGAAACTGTGCTGGGCTTGAAAAATGGAATAGAGGGAGATGCAACCCAATCAATCAACTGATACAGTTTATATATTTGATAGTAGGGGTGCCGGTTAAGATCAGTCTGTAGAGCAGGCACCCAATATAGAGACTACAGTCCTTGATCCCAACCTCAGCACTTTGATACCCTAACTCTCCTTCCCACATTTCCTGTCTATCTTCAGCTGTTCTAGGCCAAACTCTAATCTTAAAAAAAAAGTGTACATACATACACACACATTCTCACAACATATTCCACTCACCTGTGTGTTAGCATCTCTGAGGCAGCTCTGCTGCATAGACCAGGCTGAAATGACATTGAAGCCTTTGACCACAATGGAGTCTGGCAATAATGAAGCCAGGTATTCAGCGTTAGACTCTGGATACTGGTTCAATCTCCTGTTGTTACTCACATCCACAATAATCTTGCCTGCAGATCAAAAAGGCAAAGAAAGATGACGTCAGTAGTTACAGTCTTTTAACTGAACTTTGGCACATCACAGTGTAAACAAGTGCAACACAAACACACACACATACTGTATAGTTGTATAAATTGATACATGCTTTACTTTATTTGTTTCAAGGTGCACATGTGTGGTTATATACCTTCCAGTAAATGCTTGAGGTCCCAGAGGACAGAGTAGTGCTCACGGCGGATTGCCAGGAACACGATGTTTGCTTTTCCCACAGCATCTTCATGGTGCGTCACGTCCACCACATGGGGAAATGACTGGGCTGCTACTTTTGGATGACGGCTGCCCACCACAACGTGGAAGCCACAATGCAGCAGACGTTTGGTCAGACACTTGGAGAAGTCACCTGAGCCCAAGATTGCCACTGTAGGCTTTACTGGCTGGGCAGAGAGACAGGTTCCTCCATCTCCTACTCCATTCTTCATGCTGTTGGACAGGAAACAGGTCTGGAGGTGGTTGGAGGACGAGGCCGTGAGGAACACGGGGCTCCTGCTGCCGTCCATCATGAAGATGTTGTCCATCCTTTCACTCTGTCCCTTATTTTCCCAGGTGTTCAGCATCTAGGATCTCAGTGAGTCTATAGAATGTTATTGGGACAAACAAAGCTACAAATATAACTGATCTCTAATTATTCCTACATATGATCACAGCAAGAATCACTATTCATCTGCACAAGCCTTTTGATGAACAACAGCTACATTTCCATTACCAAGCCTCTCAGTATAAAAGGGTAGTGACTGACTCAGGAAAGTGTGCTTCAGTCAGGAGTAAGAGGGGAAAGATAGTCAGTGATATACACAGTAACAGCGTTTACAGGCGTTTAAAATAACAAAGGACAAATAACCAATTGTTTGTCTGATGGCCTTGTTTGATTGTTAAGGTTGTACAAATCAACAGTATTAACTCTTAACCAGGTAAAAAAAAAAAAAAAACTTAAAAGCTTTAAAAGTTGAAAATAAATGACTGTGTTTATGTTTTGATAAGTGATTATTACCACTTTATAGATGGGCTACCTTAGAGAAATGGACAACTATAAGAACACAGATTAACGTGCCAAATTGGCCGGTTTTTCTTTAGTCAATCTGAAATCCTCCTCTTAACACTGCACTCCTTGTTCGGAGCCAGTGGTGTAGTGCAGGGTATACACAGGTATACTAGCCTACTCACTTATCTTTCAGTCTCCATAGAGTACCCACCATCTCCTCTGATTCACATCATTGATGGATCAGTAGGATGCTGCAATTCCTTGGATGGTGAAGGGATGACCCTCCCTCCTCTGTCTCTAATTGGCTGGTACACACTAACTTAAATATGCAAGAGGAGACTTATGTCACTGTTACTAACAGAGGCCGGTTATCCTCTGCTGGACGGGACACTTTGGGGGAAAAAATAGTAGCCTATGTCCACTTCTTCAGGTACCACCACTGGCGGTAGCCTCCAACAATTATGGATAACAAATTCTTCTTTTTTTTTTTTTTTTTTAAGCAAACTTTTACAATTAACATCAATCGTGAATGAGTGGGACTCCCAATGAGATTATCTTTATAGGATAAAAAAGAAAATGCTCCTAATGACTGTGTTGGATATCTGTATCCACCTCGGCTGCAGTGGGCTTGTATTTCAGTACAGGCCAATTAAACGACATCCATCCAGCGACTAAACCTGCGTCTCCTAATGACCTTTAGTCACAGACAGCGATCTTGTGAAGGACGCGGCCGTGTGTGTGTGTGTGTGTGTGTGTGTGTGTGTGTGTGTGTGCACAGACAGCCTGTGTTCACCTGTAGCGCTGCAGACCGCCTCTGTTCTGTCATGTACATCACACATGACACATGCAAGCTGATGTCAACACGCACTCAGCATCATCGAGTCACACATGCACGCCAAGGAGGAGTCTACTCCCAATGTACGAGTGTGAATGTGGCATTTTACCGACCTGTCACCGGGCTGCTCTTCTTTTGGGTTTTTTTTTTTGTGTAGAGACGCAGACCATCAGCTAGCTGCCCATCGTGATCCTGATGCTGCTCAGAACCACATGCTGCGTTTAACATCTTCAGGGAAGATCGGAAAAAACAGCTTTCATCTGGCAACCGTGCCGAAGTGTCAATCAAATGTGCTTTCCATTGTGATAAAGCCCTTTGGTTCAATTGTCACTGGCAAACAACCCTTTTGCAAGTTGTTGAAATTTGAATACGAATCGTTTGGATTCACCTTTTAAGAGACAATTTATTTAAGAAAGAAACCTAAAGCAGGGAAACAGTAGCCTAAATTGCTTCAGCAGCAGTCACCCATGTTGTCAAAAACAATAAATAAATAAATAGAATCCTTCATTTAAGACAAATAATGAGATTAAAAGCAACAAAAACTGAAACAGCTATAGCCTACATAACAAAAATCAAAGCACCTATGAATCAATCAATCATTATTTGTGCAGCGCCAATTCATAACAAATGTTATCTGGAGATGCTTTACAAAAAGCAAGTAAAAAGACCTTACTCATTGTTATGGTATGTTTCAAAAGAAAAATGGGGCGATGGGATAGATTTTTTTATCTGCTGTGTTCATTGCCTTATTAGACACCTATCCCCACTTGCGTCTCACATTTAAATGAACTATGTAGAAATAGTCATAGTAATAGGCTACTATTGGTCCTTTTAGCTCATCAGTTTGTTTCCAGCTACTGTTACAGCTCCTAAAGTCAGCTCTAGCTGCTTCATTACTTCAGTTAGCAATTCAGAGAGGACAGCCTGACATGAACTACTTTGTTTATATCAGAAAACTCTGTGGTGAGTCGTTGTCAAATGAACAGCGTTGATTGAACAGAATTATAGGACTGCACATCAGTGAAAGTCTGAGATCACATCGTGATGAACAGCCTTCAAAGTTTGACTTTCTAAGTTGTCTGTTTTGTCATGGACTCAGAAACACACATATTGTTTTTTTGGGGCACAGGTTCTGCAATCACTGAAAGGTTCTGTTGTCTAAATTTAGGTCAAAAATCTTTCTACAGGAGAGAAAAAAGAAAGAGGAGAAAGAGGACGAGGAGTAAGCATCTGGACCCATAATGGTGATGAACCTTGGGTGCAGGGCCCCACAAATGATTTGTGCCAAGGGCTCCATAAGACTACAGAGTCGCCACTGGTTATTTAACAGCTCTAAGATAGTCTGTTTGTGCCAGAGCTAAACATTTTTATAATTTAAAGGAACTAGTTTAACCATGTCATTAAAGTCTGTCTAAAAAAATTGTTTCAATTTAACACTGTTACAATGTTGCAAACATAAAGTCCAAAACTCATTCAACAAATGATATATGTTCACTACCTCTGTCCACAACTGCGGCTGGTTTCTTGGTAAAGAAGCAAGCCTACAGACTCTTTTTTACTGTTTTTTTTTACGGGTTTTGTCCGAAATGCACTAAATAACCTAACTTCCTACTCTCAACACAATAATAGTAGCAATTGTTGTGAAATTGAGGGATTTCGTATTCAGCCTATGTGCTTCGTGCGATATTGAGGGTGTTTGAACGCAGCTTGAGAAGCAGAGAAGGGAAAAAAAAAAAAAACAGACAAAAAAAGCGCAGCCTTCAAGTTTGGTCCTACAGAGCTGCCGTAGTCGTCATGTCCTTCCTGGTAGGAGTAGCGCTTGCTGTTTTACTAATAACTTTTCTAATTATTATCCGGTTATATGTTGTTGTGAAGAATGGATCAAGCTATCATCCTGGAGCTAAAGGTGCAGTCACAGTTCTCGTGGTTGCTGGATCTGGTAAGGTGGCTTACACAGTATCTCTGAAGTGTTGCTTTTCTATCCTCACGGAGCTTAACGGGGTCAAAACTTCGGTCTAGATTTCTGACTATCCTACATGTAAAAACATTATACTACACGAATTGCTAGACCATTTTTAATAATTGGGTACAATATCAAGTAAAGCGAATACGGTCTGAAGTTCATCTCTACCGTCTGTCTTAGCATCGACGGTAATGATGTGTAGCATCTCAGACTGTCAAACCTCGGTCAAGCCAGCGAGAGAAAAGATGCATGTAGAATTTACAGCATATTTTACTGTATAGTTTTTTAAATAATTAAAATTGCATTATCACACTTTGATATTTTAGTCATTTTGATGATTTTATTTTGAAAAATCTGTGACAGGTGACAATAAACTTCGATGGATTCTTATTCCTCATGCACCTGGCTGTAGTCCTGATCATTTTTTATTTATTTTTTTTAGCAGATTTTATTGTCTACTTTTTGAGATAATTAAACGTAAAGTCTGCTCAAATTGCATTTAGAGACTTTGATATTTTAGTCATTTTGATTATTTTATTTTGAAAAATCTGTGACAGGCGACAAGGAACTTTCAATGGATTCTTATTCCTCATGTCTCTGGCTGTGGTCCTAAAAATTATTAGCTGATTTAACTGTATAGTCATTCAGATAATTAACTTTAACCATGTTAACGATATTGTCTTACCCAATATCTTGTGTGAAAAAATATCGATATACATTTTGAAAACTGGATGTATTGCCCAGCCCTATTTACCATGTGTCTTGTGTGTCTTGCAGGTGGTCACACCACAGAAATCCTGCGGCTTATGGAGTGCCTGTCTGAAGCTTATACACCTCGGCACTACGTCATTGCGGATACTGACAGGATGAGCGAGGAGAAAATCAACACCTTTGAAAGCTCCAAACAACATTCAAAAGAGTCACAGGTAAAAAAACAAAGAACAACGCCAAGGCACTCTTGAAGCCTTATCAGGAAGTCAAACAGATTGAAAAGCAGTGCTGCCAGACATCATGAGAGAAACAAGCACACAAGGTTTATGGAAAGAAGGGATTTATGCTGCGTTCATGTTGTGTGGGAAAGACTGGAAAAACAAGTTTTTAAATGCACACGAACACCTGCTCAAGTCAGAAACTCGGAAAAGAATCAGGTGTCCCACTTAACGACTTGACGTCAGAATCGTCATCACCTCGGGGGGGCAAAATATGCTTTCTTAATGTTAACATACTTTTTATGAATTCACCTATTGCACATCAGCTTTTTGCTAAATATAACTTGTATCAGTTACATTCATCAACGCTGTTTTTTGCTGTTGTAACTTTACAATGTGTCTTTGTACAGGTGTTTGTAAACTCAGGATTCTTAATGATGTCAATATGAGCATTAATATGTAGAATTTATCAACTTCTTCTCTTGTTGTTTCTGAATGCTTACGATAGCTCTATCCTTTTTTTTTTTTCAACCAACTTTATTCAAAGTTCAATAATGTACAAATACTTCAGGCAAATAGACAGTGTGAATGAAATGAAAGAGGGATTAAATATCATAGCAGCTTTTAAAGTACACACAGCAACGTTAGCTCGATGTTGTGGATAGCTTCAACATCTAATCATTACCAAAGGTCATTACTCAAATCTGTCGCACCAGGGGCTTGTGCTCTGGGGCTGCAGCTGGATAGTTTGACCAGGTGAGATGGCGTTATTTGGGCCGATGTATGTAAATGAACCCATTCCTACATTCATCACTGGCTATTGGCTAAGGCACATTTACTCATGGATGAAACCTCACTGGTTATGTAGTCTCTGTCGGCCCTCATGGAAAGCCTCTTGTCCAGTAAAATGACTTGTTTAGGACTAACTGTTATATAAATTTACATACATGTCTGCACACGTCTATTCTATCATTTCTAGAATAATCATTGAAGCTGTAAATGTGTTTTGGACAGAATCATGTTTTTTTTTGTTTGGTGTTGCCTTGAGGGTTTTATGACTAGTTTGCTTTGTGATCTTTTTAAAAGTCCATGTTGATTTATTGTTGTGTTGTATTATCATTTAAATGATCTAAGCAAAACAGTTTCAATCCTAACCAAAACCACTGAGCAACAAAACTACTTGGTTAGTTCACAGATGGATTTTTTAAGACCTCTAGCACTGAAATTGACTTTTCTTCTAGATCCATTGTAATGAGATGGAGGCATAAATCGAACCAAATATTTCAGAATGGATTCTATTTTTTAGTCATTTGGGCAAACTGGAGCTTTGCTGTATTGTAGAAGCATAGTTCAAAAGTGTGTGGGCTCTGTATAAAAAATATCATACGGTAGTGTTTTGTGCCTCTAATGACTTGTTCCCTTTTTCCAGTTCACCATCTGTCGGATACCACGGAGCCGGGAGGTGCATCAGTCTTGGGGTTCCTCTGTTATCAGCACTCTGAACGCCCTGCGGTATTCCTTCCCACTAGTTTTCAGACTCAGACCTGACATGGTAAGTGGACCTAGAGAGCAGTTAGTAGCTGTTTTTACACATTACTCTGTACTAGAACAGAACAAGATGTAATTCTACTACATCCTCCTGTCATTACAATTTGGAAATTGGAAAAAAAAGGATTTTATTATGAATCACTTCAGAGAGAGAGAGAGAGAGAGAGAGAGAGAGAGAGAGAGAGAGAGAGAGAGAGAGAGAGAGAGAGAGAGAGAGAGAGAGAGAGAGAGAGAGAGAGAGAGAGAGAGAGAGAGAGAGAGAGAGAGAGAGAGAGAGAGAGAGAGAGAGAGAGAGAGAGAGAGATCTATATACAACATAATTTAATAAATGTCTTGGTAAACCTGCAATAAAGGTCTTGACATTTATAAAATGCATTCAGCTGTACATGGAAGTGGACCAAGAACAATTGTACTAAAGAAGTTCTCATGGTTCCTGGAAAATAGTTGACCAATTTTCTAGTCATGGATAACGCATGAGGAAAAACTAAATGCCCTGGGGAATCTTTGGCTATCCTGGAAAATTATTCAAACATTCTCCTTATTTCATAAAAAGAGGACCTTGTCATCTGAAAGGGCTAAATCATAATCAGTTCATGTTAAGGATCATATCAAATAGTGAAGGTAGTTTAAGGACAGTGTTACCAATTGTCTACACACTGCAAACACCTCCAACTCACATCAGGAGCTCCTGCAGGACGGATTACATAAAGGTTACCTTATAACTGTAGTGGCCAAAACTTAAAATAATGTAAGAATACTACGTTTCAAATGTAAAAATATGAGGCTGGCTGCTAACTTATATTAGGTGTATAGAATAACTTTGTTGTTAATAATAACTTGTTTTAAACAATTAAATGATGTTAAATTGATTAGCATGTTTGGTCACAATGTGCACAATGCGTTCCTGTCATGGCAGCCATCAAAGCAGCTCAATTGTCACTGAAAATGTCTTCAAAAATGATCTACTGATGATCTACTTTTCGACAGTAGAGTGTGAACCCTGTGCAAACCTTGCACCAGCTGTCAGGTCTAATAAAAGGACAGGACACATACAATTTACAGGAAGTGGTTTGTGTTGGGCAGCTGTGCAAATCAGCTTTCAATGAAGACAAACACATCAACGATAGTGAGTGTGTGGTTGGAGATATCCCTCTGGACTCAGTCCATGCTTACACATTTCTCCTGTATCCACTGCGTTTGTCTAACAACTTGTTTTAGTGATTTAGAACAAGGTTTGGGAGTGAAGGTCGGCGTATCAAGTAAGTCACCTCCTCTAAGTCATGTCAGGCTTTTATTCTGATTTAAATGACTTTTTTTCTTGGCTGCTTAAGATCAATACGCTATCCCAAACAGTTGGAGAGAACAAATGATAGTGGGATTTAATAGGGACAGCTTAACTGGTATGTTTCCAGCAGACAGAGAGAGAATTGGTCAATCTGCCTAGATTCTGAAAGTGAAAGGTTTTCACTCAGTAACAGGAGAAGTATATCATAACTGAGCTTTGTAGCATTCAGATCAGATTATCTTTATGAAGTGTATACGATGCTCCTTTTTGTGGAACTCGAGTTATTTTTTTTCCACATCCATTTTTGTCTTACCTCATTCAAACACGGTTTCCTCATGTCGTATTACGCACGGCTTTAAATCATCTTTTGTTCACAAGAAGCGCAGTCTCAGAGTCATGTAGTCATTCACTCCCCAAACACATCAGAGAAAATACAATTCATCCAATCATAATCAGTGATCACGCTCCTGTCTCCCTGTGAATAAACATTGACGCACACATATCAAGCCTCCCACCAAGATGGTGCTTTAACACATCGCTTGTAGAAAATCCCGATTTCTTCCCATTGATCAGGAGAGAGTGGGGCGGTCCGACTCACCATCACGTTTATAGGAAACAGGCAAAACAGTAGTAAGAGTAATGATAATTTCATATTCATCACATGAGGAAAAAACAGGAAATTTTGACAAAATCAGGAGACAAAAATCAAACATTTAACAAGACTATGCTGTTAGCTACTGTCCCCTCTCACTAATCAACAATGATCTTAAACTCATCACAAAAACAGTAGCAACAAGAATAGAGGCCGACATTCCAATGATAATTCACCCCGACCTAACAGGCTTTATCAAAAACAGACCGGCTTCAGATAACATCTGCAGGCTTTTCAATCGAATCAACATATCACAACAAAAACAACAAAACCATAATCGTGTATCATTAGATGCAGAAAAAGCTTTTGACACGGTTACTATTATTATTCAGAGCTTTACACAAGTTCAGTTTTGGAGAGTCGTTCATCCACTGGGTAAAAACACTTCACACCTCACCCAACACTGGAACTATTTCTTCAGTATAAAGTAGAATATGTTGGATTTGGCAGAGACTGAACGGTGAGTTTTTCTTCCGGTCATGTGTAAGCTGTATGTTTAACAGTTGAGTGCAGATTCTAGACCAGTGATTGTTCATTCGGTTTGTCTGTCCAGTCGAACCCTCCGGCGGGTCTGATTGGGAGTGGTGGTTTGAAACAAAGCGGGGACTTGCGTGCCGGTGTAGTCATGCAAGGAATGTTCCAGTAGGGCCTATGACTTGCCTATGCCTTTGCTTATTTCATGCGCCTCATGTACGGAGGCTATAGTCCCATCACAGCGGCTGTGGGTTAAAATCCCACCTCGGCCCTTTGCTGCATGTCGTCCCCCACTCTCTCCTTCTCAACAGCTGTCCAATAAAGACAAAAAGGCCCAAAAAATGACTTTTAAAAAATGTGTTCCATGGAAAAGAGTTTGCTTGAAGAGATCAATTTGAAGCAGGGTATCATGAACAATAAAGATGCATTGTAAAAATCTACTTACTGTTAAACATGTGTTTATATGCAGCCACCAAACTACGTTCTGTCTATTGTTGAGCCCAACTGTTCTACTGTGTGAATGCAGAGTGCAGGGCAACGCAGTTTCCAGAGCATTCTGGAGAGAGTGTAAGAGTGTCGCTGTCTGTACTGTGGACTGTATGATGACTTCTCCAGACTCGAAAGCAGTTCAGTCTGGTTTTCTATTAATCCAAACCCCTTCAACTCCCCGAGCCTCTTTGAGCTCTTAGGCTTTTTCCATCCAAGTCAGTTGCTTATAACTCACACACATAATGCCGGTGTCTGTGCTCTTCACCTCTTGAATCTACCAGACCTTGTATTTGACAGATTTCTTCTCTCTGAGTGTTCTGCAACAGCTCAGCTCAGCTCAGCGCTGTTTAGCTTAATGAATACATCACTCTCAAATCACCAATGGCTTCCTATGATGACCCCTTATAAAAGACTGGACATGAGCTGTAAGCAGTCAAGCAAAAGAGGGATTTTATTTCACATTGTCGGAGATTCTCGATCCTCTCCATGCATTTAAAAAACAGACATTATTGGGTACACGTCTTCCAAATAAATAAATGTGACATGCTTTGGCAATGTATTTACAAATTCATGCCAATGAAGCTCATTGAATTAAATGTGAAATTGAATTGAGAATTAGTTAGTTAAACAAATCAGTGTATGATCTGTCTCTACACTAGATACACAGGGATTAAAATGGTATTCATCTCAGATTTTGGCTTTTCACCATTTTCATCAACAGCCCCTGAATGCTGCTTTCTTAGAGGCTCAAGAAAAAGCAGGTTTGTGTCACTTCTTAGAAATGTGCTCATCCCCTTGTTTAATTGTGTGTTGTTTCAGGTGCTCTGTAATGGCCCAGGGACCTGTGTTCCCCTGTGCGTGGCTGGACTCCTGCTTGGAATTCTGGGAATGAAGAAAGTCCTGATCGTTTATGTTGAAAGCGTTTGCCGAGTAGAGACACTGTCTCTCACAGGGAAGATCATTTACTGTATATCAGACTATTTCTTTGTGCAGTGGCCGTCCTTGAGGAACATATACCCCAAATCCATTTTTCTTGGAAGAATAGTGTGAAATAGTGTGATATGCTCCACATGCTAACAAATTCAGTATTACATATTTTGCAATGATTTTGGTAAAGCTTGGAAATAAATGATTTATTTTTTATTGTTTACTCATGTTTATAATGATCCCATTTGGCATTCTGTAGATGTGACATTTTGTACAGTATGCAGGATTTAAAACTGAAATATACTTGATTTTGCAAGGGGGGAAAAATGTGTATATTTCTACAATTAACCTAGCAGATGCTTCTATCCAAAGTGACATACATCAGAGAGTAAGTACAACACAAGCAAGGATCTAGAAAAAAAGGGAACAATGTCAGTAAGTGCAAACGTTCAAATTTAAGTCTGATTGGACACACAGGTGCTGACAGGCATTGCAGAGGCGAAGCACAACATTGACGGCAGTTCTTGAGAGCTCTAATCAGTATAGAAACCATCTTATAATATATCTTATCAATAAAAGTAAATCTTAATATTAATCTTAATCTTATAAATCATCGTTATCAAACAAAATCATCGTCACAACCGTCATCAGCATCAATAATATGGAGACCATCATCATTAAGGTTGTAGGTGTTCATGAAAGAGCTGGGTCTTTAGCTTTTTTCTTAAAGGTCCAGAGGGACTCTGCAGATCGGATGGAGTTTGGAAGTTCATTCCACCACCGGATGGCGACAGAGGACAAGAGTCTAGTCAGCGTCTTAGGACCCTGTTGTGAAGGTTGGATCAGACTCCTTTCATTGGCAGAGTGTAGTGGGCGGGAGGGAGTGTAGACCTGGACGATAGAGTTTAGGTCAGGAGGAGCTGTTTTTGTCGCTGTTATGTAAGCCACCAGCAGAGTTTTAAATTTACAGATACGAGCGGTAACTGGGAGCCAGTGTGAGGAGATGAACAGCGGAGTGACATGTGCTCTTTTAGGAAGGTTGAAGACCAGTCATGCTGCTGAATTTTGTATCACCTGCAGGGGTTTGATAGTGCATGTAGGAAGCCCAAACAAAGCCTGACAACGACCCACAATCAATATCTACTCAAAGCAAGTTTCGATTCACCCACCGAGCTGACAACACCTTCCTAGTTTTCAGATCAGAGCTTGTTGTTGCCTCTTAATCAGTAAATTATACTTTAGGATAGTTATTTATAAGTCTGTCCAACTCTGTGCTCCTTACTCTTACAGTTCTCAGGGTAAGTTGTTGAAGTTTTTTAGGCCTTGTTTTAGTTGCCCACCATTAGGCCAAATATCCCAACTACAAGCTGACAATCACTTTATCTAATGTCCTTTAGCATTCCTCTTGAAACAGTTATTGGTACATGAAGAATAAATGGAAAATATGTGTACAGTACCAGTCAAATGTTTGGACACCTGATTGAAATGCATGTTATTATCTGAAAGACATTTTGATCTGAAGGCTTATGCTTAAATGTTTGACATGTGTTTCTTATATAAATAGAAATAGTGAAGTTTGTGCCTACTTACATGTATGTATGCATTTCTTTAAGTGAAATCAAATGTTTCATTTTTATTGTTTTGATATCTACTATTATTCTAAAATGTGGAAGATAGTAAAAGTAAAGGAAACCCTTAGTCGTGCCATAGATACAGCTTACAGTAGCTATATTGTAATATACTGAATTATTGATCTTACTGTTTCTGTTGTGTGCCTAAACGTTTGACTGGTAGTGAAGGCCTTGTATGTTTGTATGGTAAAATGAGTTCAGTTTTGACCAATCATTCCATGATATGCTCAAACGCTCTTTGCTGCATGTACAAGAGCTGTGGTTATCCTTGTACACAAAGAAATATCTATATCGCTTTGAGACTACTTGTTTTGGAAAAATAAAGCTACCCATGGGGTCCAAAAGGTCAGGACATCCTGTCCCAAAATTTTCTAACTTGGCAACAGAATTTAAAGTGTCACGGGGCAAGGGCATCCCACTATGTGCCATTTTGGGTGAATGTGAAGTGTAATTCTGAATCTCACTGACTTAAACTGCTGAAGAGACTATATTTAGTTTTCCACTCTTCAGAGGCGTGTGTTGCACCGACCAAACCTCTTATCTGTTGTCTTTGTTAATGTCAACTCTTCTTTTTTTTTTAAACTGAAATGTCACTTGGAAAAAATGTCAAATGCACGAAAGTACAGCCATCTCATGAGCAACACTATGACCTACCTGTAGCAGTAGCCTACGTATTACCCTGACTCCACATACTTGCAGAGAGACCTACTTGAGGGGCTTCAAAAGTGGGAGTATCAGAAAAACAAAAAAAAACAAAAGTGGGAGTATCCCTCTACAATTCGGCTGCTCTGATTGGTCGTCGCGGCTACGTCAACAATCCGTCGACATTTTCCTTTTTTTTCTTTTTTTGCAATCTGTGCTTGTCCCACAGAAAGTCGACCCGCTGGTACTGTTACTGTGAACCATCACGGAATATTTTCTCTTGGGCTGGACGTTGAAGGAGCAGAAGCAACCACTGTCTGGAAGGACGTTTCTGCCGCAGCATCCTGATACATTTTAATTGAGGATATTTATTTGGAGTTTATCAACATCAACAACAACAACAAAAAAAACAAGAAGATGACACATTTTAACAAGGGGCCAGCCTACGGATTGTCTGCTGAAGTGAGAAGCAAAGTAAGTGTTTCAGTCGCCCCACTGGGTTTTTATCTTTGTGACAAAGTAGAAACATCCGTAGGAAATGTTCCCGAGTTCACAAAAGCTTCGTCAACACATTTGTATCCAAACTGGCTTCCTAACCAAGCTTTGTCCCGTTACTCCTCTTTCTCCTTCCCTTTGATAATAGTAACACCGAAAACAAGGCTCGCCGTTAAAGTTGCAGTCACATTTTAACATTTATGTGGCAAACAATGTCCTAAGTTTCTGCTGTACGGATTTTTGGAAACCTGTTGTCAAGTTAAGTGTTATTTTAGACCACGTTGAAGAATTTAGGATTTAGGCCGATTTAAGGGAAAGTGTCCCTGCGATTTCCCAAAATGTGCATCAACAAAGGAATGAGAAAGGAATGCGTGTCAAGTTTAACTTTTTGGTAAAGTGTGAATCATTTACATGGAGGGTTGTTCGTGGTCTAGCCTATGCAACAAAAAAAATGCAGCCTCGAAGGTTTTCCGCCAAACATTAAGTAAAGTAGGCTACGTCTGTCAAATGGTAAACTTTGGGGTGCAAAGGGAGTTCCGATAAGTCCGACATTACTGTTTCCCCTCAATAGTGGGGGAAATATTCCTTCCTTTTTGTCCCACTGCTGGATTCAAGCGCTAGAGAGAACTCTTGAAATGCACTCCTGCAGGCAATACTGAACAGTAAAGTTATGTCGATGATATAGTCTATGGCTACTGTTCAATTTTTAATTGTAGAGAGAATCTTAAATAGCCTATGAAAAAACTGCATTCCTTGTTTAGGGAGGAGCCCGATATCAGAAAGGGGTTGACTATCTCCTGTCAAATGGATAGCCTTAAAAGCCTGTAATAACTTTGTTTGCAAAGCGCTTTTAGGAATAATACAAAGGAGACTTTTAAAATCAGAGCATAGACAAGTATTTGAAATGAAATCAAACATATATGAGGCCTGGTATACCTATATGTCCAATTTGATGTGATGGCAGCACTGTGTTTATAAAAAGAAATGGTACAGTTGCATCACTTTTTCTTTTGACAACACTTTTTGGGCGTTTTGGGAACTTGGAATCTGAGGAGACCAATTTCTGTCATTTTTGAAAATGGAGTAATTTACATCCTTAATGTAGGATTTCAGCTGTTCTACAGTTCAGGGTCTCCTTTGTGTTATTTAACATAATGCTAAAAATGCTCTTAACATTTGGATGGTGTGGGTGAAGGTCAGTTTTATCAGGCTCTTTTACTACAGAGCCATTTCTTGTTGAAGGCCTTCCCCTGAAAAAGAATCTTGCTATTTCATATCATATTTTGCTCCAAATGTGAAGGATACCATGTGCACTAATGCACACTATCAAGGATGCTGACCTTTCAAACAAGCTGGATGGTCCCTTTCACCTCAGCCCGTGAACGCAACGCTGTTTCTAGATCTTTTGTTTAATATTGTTTTCTCTTTGCATGGTCAAGTTTCAGCTGGCGCTGGTGAAAGCAGCGATGAACTATGCTCAAAGACTAAACTAGTTTTGAAGTGTTCCTGAGCCCATGTGGTGATTCCCACTAGAGAATTGTGTCTGCTTTTGATGCAGGGACATTTGAGGAAGATCACAGACTCCCAATATTCGTTTGTGGCCTTGCCCCCTGCTTACAGATATTTATTCATATTTTCTTAAAATGTTAATGATAATATGTACAGAAGGCAATGACATTCATTTGAATCTATTTATTTAATCTAACATAGTTTCAATACAGATCATTAAACTGATGTCCCTAGTTGGGCTTTTGGGTAAGCAAAGTATACAATCTATAAGAGTCAACAACATAAAGTCACTTAAAACTATATGTGGATACATGAAAATGCATATACCACAATATGACGCTATAAAAATTCCAGGATTCTAATTTTATGTAAAACAAACCCATTAGTTTTTAAGTGCCAGCACAGTCTTTCACCGTTTTTGCTTCCTTAGCCTCTCTGGGATGCTCTTTGCTACCCTGTTACTACTTAACAATGAGGAACTGTGAGATATTGTGTGTTTTTAAGCATCTGACCTTTGTTCCAGTCTTTTGTTGCTACCATCACAACTTTTTTGAAATATGTTGTCAGCATCAAATTTAAATTAGGCATATACATTTCCCAAAAAATAATGACATATCTCAATTTGTCTTTGCGCTACTTTCAATCAAATGTGGGTTTCAGTGTTTTGCAAGTCAACACATTTTGTTGTGATTTACATCTTACATAACGTCGCAACTGTTTTAAGAATTGGGGTTGTAAGTAGGGCCCGACCGATATGGGATGTCTGATCCCGATACCGATATGAGGGAGAGAAAAAAAATCTACCAAACACTAGGGATGTAACGATTCACGATGCAATTCTCTCATGATTTATTTTACAAAATGAGACTGTAGATAAATGATGAGTGAAAAAGATTCAAACCCACTTGTCAATGTGGTTTGTCCTTTTAATGTTTTTTT